TAGTAGTGATCTGCTTTGATAGTAGTGACTGCTAATGATGCCTGGGTTGGACTTTGGATTTTTCTTCAATCTATCATGGATTTTCAATAACGTTCTTTGAGTAGTAATAGTAGTAGAGTTTAATATTTTACTAGGGAACTCCCAACAGGCGTTGCCTTTTTACTGGAACCCGGTGCACTACGCAAGAAACGAACTCTCCAGGTCATGCATAATTGCAGGGGTCGGGGTTAGGATATTGCCCATAGCTACACCATCCCTCCAGTGGTACACCTGCGCTCCAAACCGGAAGTAAGACAGTGCTCCTTGACTTGCCCAATTCGGAAACCGAACAGGTCAATGCTGCTCTTGTGTTGTCGGAGGACCCTCATAACCAGTACAATGCCATCTTTAATCGGGATGCTAGGGTAAAGGCCACCACATCCTTTGTCACAATGATGGTGCTAGGTGGGGCCTTGAGGTTGGGAAACGATACTTCTAATGGATTTGTGTGCAATGCAGCGCTCTCTTGAGTATAGGCAGGTTGCTTGCAAACTATTCAAGTGCAATGAAGCTGCGTAAAGCATCCTTCAAGGTTTTTGAAATATAATAATAATACATACAAACACGAACGCACGCACGCACACACACACACACGCACACACACACACACACATATACACACACATGCACACACACGCACATGCACACGCACACGCACATGCACACGCACACGCACATACACACACACGCACACGCACACACACACACATACACATACACGCACACACACACACGCACACACACACGCAAGAACGCAAACAGGTACTACAATGTTAGAGAATGTATGGCTCGCGTCGCGGATGAAACTAGGTCTTCACCTTTGGCTTCATTCTTCTTCTTGGTTCCCAGGGATCTCACCTTGGCCCCGTTCTTTTTATTCTCTACATTAATGCCCTTCCTCGCACCATATCGTCTGATGTCACTACTGATGTTGCTCTTATTTGCCGATGACACTACTCTTGGGAGAGGCGCTGAGCCGGAGGACCTAACCAACAACAAATGGTCCACCCCCTCCAGGCCCCCCAGGCCACTGATGGCGTTCTGCAGTGGCCTGATTCAGTTGGAGGG